GGTATTCTAAGTGGAGGCTAACACCTCTTATAACGTGTTGATTGGGAAACCATGCTTGAATGCATTTTGTTTCATATTCTACATGTCTTGCCTAGCGATAAAGTTTCCCTCTGATAGGGGATAATTTGCATCATCCATCCAAGTCAAAAGACCACACAAGGAGTGTTGTGCGACAAGATTGAAGGTGGTGCCTTATATTCCCCCATGCAAGGTCAAACGTTTAGAGGTGACCATGGCTGACTTCGATCCTAAGACTAACATAAAAGACCGTATAGAACCACAAGAAGAGATCAAGCACCTAGTCTTGCGGAAGCAGGAAGACCACCTCTAATTTACAATAATGATTTTGAATTATTTTTGGTTGATGCAAGTGAACTTCTGGAAATTTGGCTATCTTAAGTGATGAATTTGGTAAGTAATTGTTGTGTGAGGATAAATGGTTTATGATAAATAAAGTTTCCGTAGACACGTATAATATTTGAATTTTTTTTGTCAAATACATATGTCATACATGATTGTTCCATTTATATTTGTATGATAATGTTGTTAATAAAACTATGTGCTAAGTTAGGCACATTGCCTTAATTGTATATTACATGTGATAATGATGTGAGTTTAAGTTATGTGGTTGTTTGATAATATGAAATGTATTATGTGTTGTGAATGTAATGTTTACATATATGATGTGATGGTGTATTAAGAAGCATGCATCTCGACCAAAGGTGAAAGGGCTCTAAGAGTTGACCTTGAGAAGGATTTGGGAGTTAAACTTGAGAAGGTTCTAGGAGCTGACCTTGAGAGAGCTCTAGGAGTTGACCTTGAGATGGCTTTGTGAGCTGACCCTAAGAAAGCTCTAGGAGTTGACCCTGATGACTCCAACCGTGGTTAAGGATGACAACAATACTCGTTCTTGTAGGTATCCGTGGATAAAATCCGCAACGGATAGTTGTTACCCACGATCAGGGGTTATTTTATATTCACTTATAAACAAATCGATTGCAGATATTATACTACTCATACCCGTGAGTATCTGCTAAGCACAAAAAAAAAATAAATTAATTTATACTTTATTAAGTTAAATTTAATTAAAATTAAAATTAATTTATATTTTATTAGATTAAATTTAATTAAAATTAAATTTTAATTTATATTATATTTTATATGTGTGTGTATATATATATATATATATATATATTTTGTAATTTTATTTAAATTTTATTTTAAAAATTTATAAAATATATATTTTTAAATATTCGCGGGTATCCACGGGTTTTAAAATATCCAGGAGTATTTTTTAAACGCATATTCATGCCAGTAACATTTGAATTTTTTTTTGTTGTGGATCAGGTAGCGGGTAGGTATTATCTGTGTCTGACTCGATTTGAGAGTGGTGAACTCGACATAGCTTTACTATTGAAGGTGAACTTTGTAACATCGCAATTTAGGATATCACTAGGATAGTATAAAACCTTTCAACTTGTGGAAATTTTACAAATTGAACTATTTTTGAATAATGATGTGTCTATTTTTAAATCTTAAAATCGTTAATAAATATATAAAAACTAAACAAAAATATGAATTCTAATATGTTCAAATAATTGTTACAAAATAATATAATTTTACATTAATAAATTAAAAACGTTCAATAAAACCAAAAATTTCTCCAACACTTTGATATATTCGTCCCTTATATAACAATGAGTTATACCAATCGCACAAACACAAACAAGGATGAACTAATATAATAAACATTAAATAAATATACATCACAATATGACAATTATCAAGTAAACTCTACACTCCTACGTCACTAACCACAACCAAATTAAAACATACATTCACTCTTCTTTCAATACTTTATTTAAATAGACAATATCATAGGTTGATATATAGTATTAAAATATATTAATAGTTATTAAAAGATATAATAAAATGATTTAGATTTAGTAAGGGACCTTTGTTGGGCTGTACCACTTAGTATATTTAGTTTAGGTATGTATACATTTATATAAAAATTAAATTTAGTTTCAATTTGAATAAAGACGAAATTGCTTATTTTTTTTAAAAAAAATTGGGATTGAATAAATTAAATTATGATTTAGACCATGATTTACAAATGGCAAATAAAATTTAAAAAAAAAACAAATAAAAGAAATCACAAACAAACCAGTAACACATATTTAACATTGTTAATTATACTAATAAAGATAACCTAATTTTTATGTATTTTAAAAAATAGAGACTCAGTTAAAAAAATATAAAAGCTTTTGACATTTTTTATAAATACGAGGATCAAGATAATATTTTAAAAGTAGTTTCTAAATAAGTTGTAATAGAAACCAATTAATATTTTATTTTATATCATGAAAATCAATTACACATAAGAACTAGTTTTTTTCTTCCAAGAAGTGATAGTGGTCTACTCAAAAATGAAATTTTCTTATTGTACCTTATTATTCTTAAATTTAAGATCTTCTTAAAACTTCTATGCTGTAAATACTCATTCTCAATCAAAATAAGATTGACAATAATAAAATTTCATATCGACAACAAAAATGATAATAGAGAATAAAAAATATAAAATGAACAAGTTAATGTGTTCATACATTATTATTACGAGAATGTAAAGCTAATTATTCATTATACATTTTTCTTCGTATCATCCGATCATAACGATTCTAAATGTTCTTCTTTAAATTAAGTTAAATTCTACTTACAGTCATTTTTTATTTAAAAAAATTTGATTATAATAGACATAAGTTTCCTATTAATTACACTTAATTGACATTTGACATGCAAATTTATTCTTCGTGAACATATATACAACTATAAAAGACAAACATTTGTTATACATTTAAATAGAGGAACAACCATAATAACAATAAACTAAACAAATAAAACCAATCATAATAACAATAGTGACATGTTCACTTGGACAATGACGAATATGCTGGACATTCACTTCAATGTGATGTTCCACAAACTGGACTTGTTCAAAGAAGAGGAGGCTGGGAGAGGAGAAAAGAAAGGTCACGAAGGTCAATGTGAAAAGCTCCAAGAAACGAGCTACATTTGAGAGGTCGTATACGTGACTGACAAACATGGTCATGGTAAAAAAGGTGAACGGTTAGTGGAAGATGTTGTTAACTCTTCGGTAAATGCACCGAATCATGCAAGTAATATAGATTGTAAGTCCAAATATCATCTCCCAAAGGATTTGTGTTTGTTTAGGTAATTATGATTACTCACTAGTTTAAGCAATGTTTATAAACAATGATTCATCAAATGTATTACAACATGTTAAAATTACTGAACATAACGATTATAAAGCTATATGTGTAAAGACTCATCGGGGTTGAATTTCATGACCAAAACTCTAATCACTGAACCATGCAATATATCTCTAACATCTTCACACATTCACATCATAAGTAAACAAACTCTAATCCCTTAGAAACAAGTTTTAAATCTTAATATGAAAATATTAATCCCTTAGATATTCAAACACAAGATTTGCATTAAGAAATGATGTCAAGAAAGACCAAGAGCCTTAGTCTATGTCTAGAACCAAGCCTCTTGGTTGTTCTATATCCCAGTCTAGGTTTCAAAACATTTTTCAATTATTGGATACCAACAAAATAGCATATATATCCCATCATGCAAGTGAAAACAAGGGATAGAACACATGAATACAAAAAGATATTTTATTGCATAGAAAAAGTTACAAATTAGGTACACCCCAATGAAATGGAGTTTAACTACTCCTATACATTCTAGATCCACCTACAAAAGACTTTTGAAAGCTTAAGTGAGTAAGAGAGTTTAGATCTTTTATGAATAGGATGGGAAGTATAAATCTCATAATGTCTTTCATGAGGAAATAACATGTTGTTTAGGGTTTCTAGACCCTATGTCTTTACGTGATTTAAATAGACAATATCATTTGTTGATATATGGTATTAAAATATATTAATGGTTATTAAAAGATATAATAAAACTACCGAGATTTAGTAATAGACCTTTGTTGGGTTGTACCAATTAGTACACTTAGGTTAAATATGTACAAATTTATATAAAAGTTAAATTTTGTCTCAATTTGAATAAAGACATAATTGCTTAATTTTTTAAAAAATATATTGGGATTGAACAAATCAAAATATAAATGCAGTGACCAAATTAAGATTTAGACCATGATTTACACATGATAAATAAAATTTTAATAAAATAAACAAATAAAAAAATCATAAACAAACCGGTAATACATATTTAACCTTGTTAATTATATTAATAAATATAACCTAATTCTTTTATGTATTTTAAAAAATAGGGACTCAGTTTTAAAAAAATATAAAAACTTTTAACATTTTTTATAAATACGAGGATCAAGAAAATATTTGAAAAATAGTTTCTAATAAGTTGTAATAGAAACCAATTAATATTGTATTTTATATGATGCAAAACCAATTACACATAAGAACTAGTTTTTTTTCTTCCAAGAGATAGTGGTCTACTCAAAAATGATTTTTTTTTTAATGGACCTTATTATTCTTAAATTTAAGATCCTTCTTAAAACTTCTATGCTGTAAATACTCATAAAGAGCTCAATCAAAATAAGTTTGACAGCAATAAAATTTCATATTGACAACAAAAACGATAATAGAGAATAAAAAATATAAAATGAACAAGTTAATAATGTGTTGATAAATTATTATTAAGAGAATGTAAAGCTAATTATTCATTATACATTGTTTTCTTCCCATCATCGGATCATAACGATTCTAAATGTTCTTCTTTAAAATGCGTTAAATTATACTTACAATCATTCCTTATTTTAAAAAGAAAAATTAATTTGATAATTTATAATAGACATTAGTTTCATTTTGATGATATTAATTACACTTAATTGAAATGCAAATTTATTCTTCGTGAACATACATGCAACTATAAAAGACAAACATGTGTTATACATTTAAATAGAGAACAACCATAATAACAATAAACTAAACAAATAAAAGCAAAATTAAAATGTGTACATGTAATTTGAAACAATATTAGAACATTCAATGCAATGTTTTATCTAAAAATGTGATTAAAAAAAAACAAAACCACAATGGGATTTCAAATGCTAGAAAGACACTCCCATTGATTGAAAGTAATTAAAAGTCACAAATTTTGGTGAGTTCTTCATGGTTTTAACCAATAACGGCTAACCTTTGTGAATAACTTGGTTTCAAGCATACCCACAAACTCCACTCCCACATGAATCACCAGACGAACACTTCTTCTTGCACTTGCCACAGTGACTGGCATTGGACAAAACATTGGTACAAACTCCATCGCAGCATCTTTCTCCCTGCTTGCACTTGTTGCCACACACCTTGCAGTTGTTCTTGTCACTAAGAACATTGCGACAATGTTTCTTGCAGCAGTAAAGTAGGTCCCTCCCCTTGTTTGCTCGAACCCCATTGCAGATGTTATTAGTCTCAACATTACACTGTCTTCCTTTCTTTATTACGGTCGCCAAGAATCTGCTTCTTGGTCCCAGATGGCTTATTGGGCTGTCAAGAACATAGTCTTCTTCCTCCTCTTCGTTTCTCTCGTGATCATTTTTATCATCTACACCGCTTGCAGAACCAAACTGAGAATCGTGCAGGGTTGCAAAAATCAGCAGAAGGAGAAATGTTGTGAGCTTTAGGATTGTGTTGGCCATGGTCAATAATGAATGTGAATTTAGGTTGATGGTTGCTGTAAATAGAGCTTTTGATGATGATTATGGGAATATGTTAGCAATTTAAAGTGTGGTTTGTCGTGAAATACTCCATGATCTTAGGGGAAAACTTGGTTCTTTTAATTAATTGCAATGTTGAATGAGAGAATTAGATTCATCTAAATTCTCGGTTTGAGGATAAGTGATTTGCAAGCATGATCGTGTTGTTTAATTAATGTGAATAATGGAACAAGTTAACCTGTTTTTGCTCTTGTTTCAAGAAAGCTTCAAAAGTTAAGGACAAAAAAAGTGAAGATTATGCAAAGTTAGGAATATCAGATTTAATCACTTTTAAACGCAAGATATAGAAATAAACATTATTAGGGTTTTTCAGATCAATATATATTTCAGCTTTTTTTTATGAACTTTTTTAATATTTTTATATATACAGCAGCACGCGATAATCTTTTTTTTTTTCAATTTTAATCTGGGAATATATATTTTTTCAAGAATCATATTCCATAGGAGTTATAACTTTTAGAAACATGATAAACATGTTTAATCTGATAAAAAGATTATTTGGAACGTTATGGCTCAAGACTTTTTCAAATTTTATTTGAATTTTAGATTTCCATCCCTTTTTATGAGAATATATTTTATCCAAAAACACAATGGTTAACATTAATATATATATATATATATATATATTTTGTAATTTTATTTAAATTTTATTTTAAAAATTTATAAAATATATATTTTTAAATATTCGCGGGTATCCACGGGTTTTAAAATATCCAGGAGTATTTTTTAAACGCATATTCATGCCAGTAACATTTGAATTTTTTTTTGTTGTGGATCAGGTAGCGGGTAGGTATTATCTGTGTCTGACTCGATTTGAGAGTGGTGAA